ATCTCACAGGCCCGCGGCGGGTCTTGCCAACACACTTGCTCCGTCCGCCTCAGCGCGCGCCGTACGTCCGCATCGCAGTAGACGCTGTCGTCATTTGTGATGGGGAAGGCCGGTAGCGAAATGAGACGATCGGAGGTACGTGATGAAGACGGGCAAGATCCCGCGTTCCCGGTCATCCGAGCCAACACCGAATCCATACAACAATCGTCGCGACTTTTCTCTCTCAAAAAGGGGGGTGCGTAGGGGGAAGATGACGAAAGCTAAGCTTTCTCCCCTTGGCGGGGGCGTCGACCATCCGTGCGGACACAGGCGGTTGACGTCACCGGTACGAGGACGATAAGCTCTAAAAGCGATGACTGTCAGTTCCGAGGAAGGCGATCAAGGAAGGGAAGGAGGGAGAGAGGGAGTGAGAGTGAATTACACCGAGACCGCGCGAGAGCGCAGAAAAGACCGCAGAGGGGAGGGGAACAACCGGATCAACACACTCATACTCCTAAGCAGACGGTCCCCCAGTTCAGTTTTCCCATCCCCGCCCGGACGAGTACATACACACATACATGCATGCAATCCACAACACTTGACAGGACATCTAATCATCCATGGACCTTCGATGTCACTCATGCGCAGAACCAGCTCCCATCACTCGGGGCTTCAAGCACACGACATACATAGACAAAGCAGCAATGGAGATAAAAGCGAGTCCTTCTCGTACACAAAAATTTCAATTAACKGCCGCCCCCAGRCGCGGCCTTCAAAAATTCCCCAAGACCACCGACCACCATAGCCACAAGGCCCTGCCGCGGCCGGCGTCCAATCCCCACCACTGCTCAGTCCCTCCGACTCCTTCGCCCTGAGACTACCGCGGGGTCCACCCCACGTCGTCACTCCGCCCGTCCTTGGGCTCGTCCAGCCTGTTCGGCGCCGCGGACTCTCGCGCATAGCTCGCGCAGCATTGTAGCCGAGATCAAAGAGAGAGAGAGGAGAGGGTTACGCAAATTTATAGCGCGGGAGGCGGCGGGTTAACAGCGCGAGGTGCGGGCGGCGCAGGGTGTAGATGAGCAGGACCGGAGAGAGAGGTGGGGAGTTAGAGGGTTTGACCCGCGGGATTGCATGGCTACGTGATTGGGGTGTTCGTCCGAGCATCCCAATTACACCACCAATCACTTCGCGTGGTTTCCCGCTTTCCACATTGATCCGAGCATCCCAATTACACCGCCAATCACTTCGCGGAGGAAGACAAGGTAAGTATCAAGCTGGGCATAGGGGAAGACAAAGAGTCCTGCATGGGGAAAATGTGTGCAGCAAGAAGGGAAGATGGCGCGAGGATGCAAAGCAAGAAACGGGGATGCGAGACGCGTGAAGAAATCGGAGCTTGGGCGCGCGCGCAAAAATAAAAAAATAAAAAAATCCCAACCGCACCCGTTTCTTGATTTTCATACCGCGACCGCTATTCGCCCGCGGGAGTTATTAACCAAACAAAATGAAAAAGGCCGTTTCAAAAAGAAAACAAAAGCAAAAAGAAGGAAAAAACCCTTTTTATATGCGTCCGTACTTCGGGGCTTCCGCGGGGTTTTTCCTCAAGGATACGGCAAGCCGCGCGGTACGGATCTGAGCTTATCACAGGCTCGTCGGAAGACGATGAAGAGTAGGCGGTTGAAGGGAAGACGGAGGATGGTTTCTGATGGTTTCCGATGAAGTGTAGTGCTGCGCCTTTTGAGTGAGGGTAAGGTGAGTTCACCTGATTTTTGCTATTCCTCATCCTGTGAACTATGGGTAGAGGAGGTCGGCTCGTCGTGAGATGAGGAATAGTTGAGGAAGGTGTCCATTGTGTGGGTGCGGCTGCTGTTCTCATCCCATGAACTATGTGGTGGAGGATGTCGGCTCATCGGGGGATGAAGAAGAGCAGGGGGTTGGAGGAACGAGGGTGGATTGTTCGTTTGAGTGGTCTTGAAAATGCTTTAGGATTCTGGGTACTTCTTACAACTCACTTTAGGCGTCTTTGATGCAGTTATATTCATGGATCTGTGGTTTTCCGATGCCAGAACGATGCTGGCCGGTGCTGGGTGGTTGCCCTGTAACCTGTTGATAGTAGGAGCGTGAGGCCTGGTAGAGGGATCTGGGTATGCCTTGGGGCGGGCATTCTAAGGGAAAACCAAGGGTTGTTGTCGGGACGACACTGGCCGGAGCTGGGGTGAGTCGTGTTGCCGTATAACCTAGCAGGGTAGGGGCATGAGGCCTGGGAGAGCTCGGCAGGGAATAAGACAGTGTTAGAGAACTTTAGAGGGTTTTGTTAAGGAGTCCAGGTGTTCTGAGCATTCAGTAGACTAGCAATAGGCCAGCAATTATCCAAGTTTTTCTAAATTTTCCTGGTGTAGATGACACAGTTGTCTTTCCTAGCCGAGCCCGGGTAATGGCCCCGGTACCTCAAGGATCCTTCCATAAGCTTCTCATTTTCTCAATGCGATCTCGAATGGGACGCAGGGCCCGGTTCCCAGCATGTGTTGCTCCCCACGAATAGATTGGAGCATGTCCTCTTAAAGAAAAAGAAAAAAAAAAGAAAAAAAAAAAGATGAGGGGCCAGAACTAACTCACAACCTCTCCTTGTCTATGCCGGAGTTATTACCAACGGAATTACCAGCCTTGCCTCCATACCCGGAAGAGAGTAAAGGGAGCGGTACCCAGCTTGGCCTTCACTCAAGGTTCGAACGAAGCCCTGAGACCTAAGGCCCAGTTGAGACTCAACACTGGAAATAACCTTGCACTTCTGTCCCCTTCCTCTCCCCAATACACCGCGAGTGAGTTTTCTCTGGTCCGTTGGATTCCTATCGCACTACATAGCAACATAGATGTCTCCAGAAGTCAACCACGGGCACAGATCACACACAACAGCCAATCCAAAGGCTCAGAATCTGTTTCCGGAATCATCGATGCCCTACAGTTGTTTCCTTTTTTCCCCCCTTTTGGCCTGTTGGAATAAGGCGCACGCGTGGCCACGGTAATATCTGGACAATCTTGACCGTTCGAGGCGGCAGCTGGAGGCCGGCGCAGGCTACAGTAGTCAAACCCGCATCGCAGCCCTTAGCTGGGGCCAAGAAAGGTCGTGAAAGAACAGAGGCAAAGAAAAGAACACCCCCACCATTAGTTAGGGGTACGTTCGGCACCCCAAACCTGCCGGGGCCAAGTCCCATTCACTCCCATTTCTGACCGCCTATCGTGAGGATCAACGGCCAGAAATGAAGCATCCGGGTCAGTGGGACCTGGTCCGCGTCGAAGGAAAGAAGCTCTCATCACTCACTTTTCGCACTTTCCTGAGTTACCGCGCGCCTGCCTTAGGTCCAGATCGCACTGGCAAAGAATATTGGAATTAGTGTCTGATTCTGGACGTGTTCCAACCAGAGATGCAGAAAAGCAGACCACTCACAATCTTTTGCACCTCTCCACAAACACATTCATACACTTATTCCAGTCTTCTTTGCCAGTGGGAGCTCGCCCTTACTCCTGTGAGGCAGGAGAGATTCTTCCAGAATCCATATCATATCCATATCCAACAACGTTATTTAGACGTACCGCGTAGCCCGAAACAGAGAAAGAGCGCTGATAGTGTCGCGAAGTAACCGTGCGGTCGACGCTACTGTAGCGGCAGCGTGGTCGGAACTCTTAGAGGGACGGTGGCGCTCCGTGCTGACGGTGGCGGGGTGGCGGGGTGGCGGGTAGCGGAGGTGATCCATCGTTTCGTTTCGTGGCCGATGTGATCGCCGGGGCTGAGGTCGATCGTGCTTGTCGACGGCGGCAATACAGGGTGACGATTGTACAGTCTCGGCGTGATAAGCGGGAGGACGAGATCGGTTTCAGATTTTACTGGATCGTTTTTTTTCCCCCAAAATTTTACGGCATCCTGACGTTGGCGGGAGGACGAGATCGGTTTCAGATTTTACTGGATCATTTTTCCCCCCAAAATTTTACGGCATCTTGACGTTGGCGGGTTACGTAGTGGAGCGTACCAGTAGTGAAAGAATAAAACTATACATGTGTTTTGGTAGAGTTTTTATAGCTTTGGGCGGTAATACTCAATAGCTTTGGGCGGTTAGACTCAAATTCAAATAAAAATTGTCGGTGGTTTTGCTAGACATCGGCTTTGGGCGGGGATACGCAAAAGCGTTGGGCGGTCGTGCTCAAGAAAGTCAACCTCACGTTTCTAGCGATCTCTCGACCTCGCCGATGTGGGGATGCCTGTAGTTGTCGCTTTTACGTCTACGAACGTGAAAGAATATGTCTAGAGGCGTAGGCGAATAATACGAGTATCTTTGGGCGGTAATAGTGAGCGCCAACTCCTGTTTGTAGCGTGTTAGGGGCCAAAAGTATAAGGAAGAGTAGTTCGTCGAAGAAGAAAGGAAGAAAAGTTGTCGCTTCTCCTAGAAAAGCATAAGTCTACGAACGTGAGCGAATATATCTAGAGGCGTAAGCGAATAATACGACTGTCTTTGGGCGGTAATAGTGAGCGCCAACTCCTGTTTGTAGCGTGTTAGGGGCCATAAGTATAAGTAAGAATAGTTCGTCGAAGAAAAAGGGAAGAAAAACAGGAAAAAAAAAAAACACTACGACGGGAAGCCGCACTTTGACAGGAACAAAAAGACCTAAGGCACGGGAAACACTACGACGGGAAGCCGCACTTTGACAGGAACAAAAAGACCTAAGGCACGGGAAGGGAGTAGGCTTCCCGTCGCGCTTGGCAGAAAAACTTCGACAGGATTTCCAGTGCGACGAGCAGTCAAGGCGGTTTTTCAAGCAGCGCGGCTGCTAAGGTGGTGCGGGTGGTGCGGGTGTAGAGTAGGCTTTCCGTCGCACTTGACAGGAAAATACCTACGGCACGGCAAGGGAGTAGTAGGCTTGCCGTCGCACTTGACAGAAAAACTACGAAACTACGAAATGTCAAGTCAAGGCGGCTTCTCAAGCAGCGGCTGCTAACAAGGTAAGGTAATGCGGGTCGAGCGGGGCCGACGGGGCGGCACTGCTGAGGGGCGGAGGTTTGGCCGGCACTCGACGAAGAGAAGGGTGTGCGACATGTTGCGTGTCGTTGCAATCGCTGTGGTCATCGGGCTCGCGTGGCTTGATCTCTCGACCTCGCCGATCTGGAGGTTCCCTGTCGTCGCTGCGTCGGACTTCTCCGGAAAGGCCCTCCCGGTGGAACAAGAACTGGATGCTTTCGGCCCTGCTGTCGCTAGACGAAGGGCAACGGGCGGAGATGAGTCAACAAGGGAAGGAGGAGGAGGAGAAGGAGGAGGAGGAGGGAGGGAAGAGGGAAGGCGGGGCGGAGATGAGTCAACAAGGGAAGGAGGAGGAGGAGGAGGAGGAGGGAGGGAAGAGGGAAGGCGGGGAGGAGGAGAAAAAAGAATATGGAAACGGCAGGTTGGCTCTACGCGACCAGCGGGAGGTAATCACGACCACGAGTCTCAGAGAGATTCGCGACGGAGCCTCACTGCAATGCCGGCGAAGAGGACGAGGGACAGTGAGGGAAGGAAGTCGAAAGAGTTCCACAGGTCAACGGAAAAGCAGGAAGGATTTCGGTCAGACAGCGATCATGGGGGCAAGTCGTCTAAAGAGTTGCGGGCGCGGCTTGGTCGTCGAGGAGGAGGAGGAGGAGGACCCTCCGAAGCTCCTGTGGACTACGCTGACTCTTCTTCCGACTTAGTTTTTCCACGCATGTGCACGGTACGTACGTCTGTCTGTGGGCACACTCACACTACCGTTGTCTCCCGAACACAACGCACTCTACCCTGGTTATGGCTGTACCGAACTGCGGGAAAGGTAGCTTGTAGACATTCGTCATCATGGCTGTACCGAACTGGGTCAAGGTCCCACTTGCACGGATTAAGAGATTCTGGCCGTTGATCTTAGCTATATCTAGCATCTACGGTCATTATCGCTTAACTCGTGTAAGTGGGAACTAGCCCCTGGAGAGGTCGCTTGTGCGTTGTGTTCGGGAGAGGCTTTCGAGGTGGGGGCATGATACGAACGTTTGTTTTTGGGGCATAAATTTTAAACTGGGAGACCCGCCGTCTTCCCTCGAACACAAGGCATCCTCGTGAGGCCTGCATAGGACCGTAAATATAGGTTGCATACATTCGTTATCCGGGTGCGTCCTGTTTCGGGGAAGATGGTGTACGTTCATTAGCAGGGTGCGTTATGTTCAGGGGTCTTTAGAGGCATGGCATGATACGTGCGTTTGTGTTTTGTGGCATAAATTTGCTGGGAGGCTTACCCTTTTTTTTTTTTTCTTTTCTTTTTTTTCTTTTTTTAAATAGGCGACGGCCTTGAAATATCGTCATTGAGCTGACCGGCCCCAAGCAATTCAGGCAATTCAGAAATATCTGGTTTATTAATCTAGAACCATCATCTGGATTCGAACCATAATCTAGACTAGAACCATCGTCTGTATTTCAACAGTTCATGGGTGTACCCACTAAGCTAGGCTCTTGGGTAGATTTAGCTAGGCTCTTGGGTAGATTTTCTTTTCTTTTAAAAAAAGGGCGACTGCCTCGCCCACCTCCAGGTCGGGAGCAGCCCCCGCATGTTCTCTCGTGAACACGGTTTTGGCTGCCACGGGGCTAGGTCCCACTTGCACGAATTAAGAGAAACTGACCGTAGATAGCAAGATCAACGGCCGAAATCTCCTAATTTGCGCAAGCGGGACCTTGCCCCTGGGTTCCCAGTAGGACTATAATTAGTAGTGGTAGGTAGGTAGTGTGAGGTGAAATTGAGAGAAGAATGTAGCTAGCCCTAGGTAATGCAGAATTATAGTATTTCACTCTTTTGCTTCCACTGGAGTTTGAGCTTGGGTCTGTATTTGAACAGTTCAGGAGTGTAGCAACTGAGCTAGGCCAGTTGGTGGGAGACTTGCCCTCTTCCCTCGAACACAATGCATCGTCACGAGGCCTGCATAGGACCGCAAATATAGGTTGTATACATTCGTTATTAGGATGCGTCGTGTTCTGGGGAAGATGGTTTGGGTTGTTGCTGGACGGTGTGCGCATGTTGTCAGTAAACAGGTCGTGAGTTCAAATCCTCTTCGATGCAGTTGAGAAATTATATAAGGGACTGTCGGTAGCCCCTGAAGAGCGGGAAGGTTGCTGCGGATGATGATCGTTCCTCGTTTCGGACTGGGTTATATACATTTAGGGCGAGGTCGCATTAGTACAGTCTTAAACCGAATACAACGTACGGTCATTATAGCTGTATTTGGGCCAACTTCGACTCTAGATACAGCACTAATGACCGGACGGTAGCAGAGAAGATTAGATTAAGCTCTTGAATCTGGACGTGTACTAGACAGAGTTGCACAAATGCAGTTCAATCTCGATTTTCTGCACCTTTCCACGAACACATTCAGACTCAGACATTCAATCTAATAGCTAGTGGGACCTCGCCCTTACGATACAAGAATATGCTGCTGCGTCTTCACCCGAATAGAACGCACACGGTCATTTTACCTGTATTTGGGCTAAATTTCGGTCTTGATACGACCGTAATGACCGAGCGTTCTATTCGGGGGAGAATGGTAGGACCGGACGCCCACTCTTTTGTGCAGCAACAACGGATATCGGCCTCTGTGAACGGCAGCAGTAGTTTTGGTTTTCTGTTCTTTTTTGTAAACCACAAGTACTTCCGAAAGTCGTGCCCCTACCTGGTTGGTCTGGTTGTCACAAGTGTTGCTTTGTCTACAGCCAGGTTGGTCTGGCTGAGGAAAACTCTGTTTCCACCGGGTTGAATTGTGAGGACCACCGCCTCTTTACATGAAATGGAATAAACCAAATGATTGCCCCTGCCCGTCCCAAAAAAAAAAAGAAAAAAAAAAGAAAGTCGTGGCCGTAAACAACCCACGATTTTAGGAAACGAACGGGCCACTACAGGAGCGCGTAGATTCATCCGACTACCGTCTTCCCCCGAACACAACGCACCCACATTTTTACTGTATCGGACCGGAAACATATCTTGTATGCGTTCATTTTCAGGGTGCGTTATGTTCGGGGGAAGACGGTAGTTTCTACTTTTTTTTTCCGCGCCCGATAGCTGGGCCAAGTACTGGAGGTCGTCGTTGAGATATCGTGGTCCAACTGGCTGGTCTCAGGTAATTCAGGAATTTCATCTGTAGTTCCATTTGGATACGAACTCAGGTCTGTATTTCAAAAGTTCATTCGTGTACCAGCTGAGCTAGGCCCATTGGTGTAGTAGTTCCTCGATATATGCATATCATCCTTATTTGCGCGCGGCTTTATCAGTTACCCCTGTCCGGATCGCTCCTCGTGGATGTCCCTCCGAAGGTTGAAGTAAGGTCCTGGAGCGATCGTCGTACAGTTTCATGTAGTCATAGGACACGAGCCGTTGAAAAAAAAAAAAAAAAAAAAAGGTCATGGGCGGCTGATATGTAGAGCGGATTTTTTTTTTTTTTGCCGTTAATCGTGAGATGCATGTGTAAGCTGATGTGTCTGACTTCAAGACTGCCGCCGCGAAGTCCTATCGGAACCATGGTCAATGGCGCGAGGTGCCACTGGCAAAGAGGAACGGATATAAGGCCTGAATCTGCACGTGTTTTTAGAGGTGCAGAATTCGCGGTTGATCTGCTTTCCTGCATTTTTGCGTAAAAGGCGGTTAAATTCAGGCACTGTCCAATGACTCGTTGACCAGCATTTTTTTTTTGGCCGTTAATCGTGAGATGCATGTGTAAGCTGATGTGTCTGACTTCAAGACTGCCGCCGCGAAGTCCTATCGGAACCATGGTCAATGGCGTGAGATGCCACTGGCAAAGAGGAACGGATATAAAGCCTGAATCTGCAGTGTTTTTAGAGAGGTGCAGAATTCGCGGTTGCGATCTGCTTTCCTGCATTTTTGCGTAAAAGGCGATGAGATTCAGGCACTATCCAATCCTGTTTGCTAGTGAAACCTCGTCTGTGGAGGCCGAGAGCTCTCAGTAATGCTTATCAGTGTTGGTAACCGATATCTTGCGCCAACAGATCATGAAGACGATGTGCAAGGTCGAACTGACCGGCCCCTTGTAAGTCGGAACAAATATCTTATAAGTCCCCGGTTTCATCAAAGATTTGAACTCAGGTCCGCTGATCAACAGGTGCATGAATGGGCGTCTCATTCAGCGACATGGGCTTGGTGTGTTTTCTTGTGTACTTTGTCATTTTTTTTGAATCAGAACGACAAGAATGGAGATTGCTGACTAATGGGCCTAGCTCAGTTGGTACACCCGTGGACTGTTGAAACACTGATCCGGGTCGAAATCCAGATGCCACCACATGATCAGTGGTCCATCGGACCTCCCCCCCGTCACCCCCCCCAACACACACATTCAACCTCCTGATGAGTCGGTGAAAGTCCGACGAAACAGTCTGGTACAGTCATGCTTTTTCTGAGTGTATAGCGAATACGACAACACACACACACACACACACACACACACACACACACACACACACACACACACACAAACATACACACGCACGTCTGAAATAAATCGAAAATAAAAAGAATACCAAATCTGAATTACCTGGGGCTGGTCAGTCCAACCGACTCCAATGATGACATTGCAAGGCCTTTGCCCTTTTGAAAAGAAAGAAAGAAAAAATCATTACAATTTTATTCCAAGAAATTCTGTAGTCAAGGAAATAAAAACGGCATGATTGTGTACAGACAGTACAGGCTTGTGTGGCGGCAAAACGGGGGCGAGGTAAACCACCGGTAGCAGAGTGGATTGGATTTAACGCCTGAATCTGGACGTGTTCGTGGCGGATAATGTTCTTTTCCGTATCTCTGCGTGGAAACACATCCAGATTCAGGCGTTCCATCCAGTCTTCTTAACTAGTGGGACGTTTTATCCAATCTTCGTAGCCACCGTCTTCACCCGAATAGAACCCCCGGTCATTATGCAGCATCTGTACTGAAAGTAGCTCCAAATACGGCTATAAAGACCGGGGGCCAAGTCGCACTTGCCGGAATTCTGCATTTCTGACCATAGATTATGCCCATCAATGGCCGGAAATGAAGGATCTTGTCAAGTGGGACTTGGCCCCGGGCATTCTATTCGGGTGAAGACGGTTGTGGGACATCGCCCCAGACCTGCACAAGTGGAATTGGTAAAGTTTTAGGAGTATAATATGTAAGTGGCTATGCGCATTACCGTCTTCACCCGAATAAAACGTCCGGTAATTATAGCTGCATCTGGACTGAAAGTTCTGCCAGATGCAGCTATAATGACCGGGCGTTCTGTTCGGGTGAAGACGGTAGCACGAACATGGACAGTTTTCGCGTGTAGACTCGTGCCTACTCAGCATGGACGTTTGCCCTTATGTGCGTTATTATGGGCTATAATTCTGTGTTTGTGCGGTATTATGGCCTAAGATTCCGTTTTTTTTAATGAAAGGGATAAACTACAGAAAGACCGAATCGCTGGGAGCGCACTGGGTTGTGCTGTGTGGCCATTGCAGATTCAATCGGGGTGTCCCAGGTCATACTCACTCTGGGCCTCGTTTGGCGGAATCTGGGCGTAACTGCGGTCAGATTCATCAAGGCAAGTCCTAGCTGCTTGGGTAGCCGAGGTCATGCTGAGACAAATTTAGAACTGCACTTGATTGGATGTATCGAACTGCGTTACAACCAAATCCAGACTGAGTACGGAAAGCCTATAGTCTTCCCCCGAATACAACGTA